AAATATTCACTTGGCAGCATGTTTTGTAGCATACACTCTCATTTAGACAATTCTGGAATTAATACAAACAAAGAAACCCAAAATTGGCCATCTGATCATCATCAAAACATGTTTTTTGCAATAGGTTTCATTTCATTAGCCAATTTTGAACAGGCTTTTTTAAATGGTTTGTTCTTCATCCTCTCTGTTTTGGTTGTTAGGCAGCAGAGACACTGGGCAGATGGCCAGAGGAGAGAAGAGATGGTGTCCAGGGTGGCTGCGCTGTTTGAGGATCAGTGTATGTACATATCCCAGCCAAGGAGGACACTTTGTCTGAAAGAGGAGTGATGGAAGCCATTAATGTCAACCTGGAGAAACCATCTTTCAAAAGTGGAGGTGGACTAAGACATAACCTCTCATCCACCCACAATGTCGATCAGAGTTCTCTCCCCAGAAAACTCTTTTCCAGGTAATAACACAGACAGACTGCAACAAGGCACACAGCCATGTTTGCCCCTCGGGTGATACCAATGTCTCTTTGCATAGTAGTATTTGGGGGGATTTTTTTTTTTTTTTTAAATAAATATATATATATATATATATAATTTTCTTTCACACACCACGACACAAGATATTGTGGTAAATGTAATGACATTTACCACAATATCTTGTGTAGTGAGCTACACGGTTTACATAAATACATGTATTTGTGTTGTAGCAGACAACCATGTCTACCTATAATAACAATATGACAATGTCAAAGGTAACATCTGGTCTGAATACAGTAAACACACACACTAGTGGCATGTTTGTGATAAGCTGCATGAGAACAGCTTACACTGTGTTAAAGAGCAGGACAAAGAATAATGCTAAATCAGCACCTTTTTTTTTACCCAGAATCCATCATTGCTTCAGGAGGGAGGAGATGTTCCATTGAGTTAGAAAAGCAGGAATAAATAGAACGTCATTATAACCTCAGCACAACGGCCTCTCTGCAGGAGGAGGAAGAATGGAGCCGTTCACTCCAGGCACAGGTAAGAGAAAAAATGTTTATGAAAGTACAACATATATATATATATATATATATAAAAAACTCTCTGCATGGGTCTGAAATAGACCATTATAAGTATATACAGTGTGTGTATGTATATATACATATATATGTGTGTATATATATATATGTGTATATATATATATATACAGTATACACACACACACACACACACTGTATTACTTATAATGGCCTATTACAGACCCATGCAGAGAGTTCTGTGGACAACATTAACACGCACACACGTATACCAATGTCTAGATTGCAGATCAGGGACACTGATAGACAATCGTTTGAGGATGGAAATATTCCCCCGTCCTCCTGGCGACCATCACAGCATCATTAACGCAGCTTAAAAACCCAGACTCAAAAATAACAAACAATAAAAAAGTCTATTCCCGTCAGAGGACACTAGACTAGACTGTTACTTCCACAAACTTCCACATATGGACTGTATAACAAAGAAGGTCGTGCCTTCTGTCGAGCTGGCCAATCAGGTTCCACTTAAAGAAAAAAAAAAAAGGATTATTATTATTTTTAACACTTGTTTTCAGACAGCTGTATGTATATCATGTTTCTTAGAGATCTTAAAATCGTAAAATTAATTTAACATCTTTTACTTTTGACTATTGATTTTAACTGTAAGTCAGGTCCCTGCAGTTTTCAAATAACGTGTATTGACTAGAAGATAAAATGCCTTTTTTTTCCTCATTGAAGGTGATTACACAAACGCAAAGACAAACCGAGTCAAAACCAAGACGCATTGGCGTTAGGTAGCCTGCGTTAGCACAAGTGCCTCTCTCTTGACTTTAATGAAGCTGTGTTCCCGGGCGTCCTAGCAATGTGTAAATCCGGTGGAAAGTCAGAGCTTTGTTAAGTTGTCAGGCTCAGCTCTGCAAGTGGCTTATGAACCTAGAAAAAACATATACAAACAATTAAATGGAAAAGGAAAGGGAAAGAAAACTGGGAATACTGACTTGAAATTTTAGTGGAACTGCCAAGTGGCCATTTTCACTTTAAAAATGTGGTTTATTGACATTTTTTATACCTTCTGCCCCTTTAGGACAGGGAGCAGTGCTGGCTTAGTGGTCCAGAAGGTTTCAGGTTCGAGTCCAGCAGCTGCCAAGTCACCGCTGAGGTATGAGCATGGCACCGTCCCCACACACTGCTCCCCCGATGCTTAAAGCTGCACACTGTTCACTTTGGTGATGGGTTAAAAGCAGAGGTCACATTTGGTTGTGTACAGTGTCACAATGACAAGGAGTTCACTTCCCTAACTGTTAAACAAAGGTGAAGTGAATTCTTGAAGCACAGATTATATTTTGACCGAATGTGCACTTTTAAAATTTCACTTTTACAAACATAAAAAATACACTTCCTAAGTCACATACTCATCCCTAATCTGACACACACACACTTAATAAATATAACTTAGACGTGCCTTATGTTTGCATTATTTTATTAGCATTTGGGTTTTACCATAAAATTTTCATATAAATTGCTTTTTTCTCTTTTTGAAAACAGATGGCAACATGAGATGAAAAAAAATATATTCCATTTATAAATACTGCTAAAATACCAGTTGGTGTATTATGGCAAAGTCTAATTCACCTGCTGTCTAAAACAAATCCAGGTAATTGGATGACTGTTTCGTTCGGTTTACTTCTTTAAAAAGTAGAGTTATTTTTTTTTGTGCAAAGTAAAAAACAAAACCCAACTTTCATATTGTGTTTTCTCAATTATGCTGTTATTTCACAGATAGAAAACGTGTTTTCTCACTGATGCAGTGATAATGACAGCAGCACCGACCTGTGAACCAGAGACAACAAAGTACCGTGAGTAAAAATGTTTTTTTTTTCTAATCAAACCACACACAATGACACTTAAGACAAAGATACAGCTCCGCCCATCACTCTCCTCTAGATCATTTAGATTATAGAGCTCTATAAATACTAGCTATGGCCACGGTAAACTGGGATCTGAAATTATGAGGTAATTAAAAAAAATTAAAAAACGGTTTAACACTTGTTATAATTGAATACCTGTCATGATTAAGTCATTAAGTCTGACTTGAATCATTAAAACAAAATCAACATACTTAGGTATGTAGATTGAAATAGTGTTAAATCAACTGGGTTAAAACCTAATCATTCTGACATTTCACAGACTGATTGGAAATTAAATTTAAAAAAACAAAACAACAAATACTACTAAAGTACTCTCATAATCACAGCAGCTGTTTTATATACTTGTAAACCAAAAGTGATATAATGTGAAGCAGAATTATCAGTGTAAATCTGATCAGGAATCACAGTTAGTCGGAGTCAGGAAGTGTGTTGATTGAACTTAGATAATTATTTTTAAAATGAACGTTATAAACAGCCAACCTTCAGTTGGTGATTTTTGTTGAGTATTGTAGAACATTTTATACCGGAAACAGAATAAATAATTAGAACGATGCTGTTTAAAAGAATAAATCTCCCCGTCGTGTGCATCTGGTTTCACAGGTGTCGTAACCGAACACAGCATGCGACGGTGACGTAATCACACTTAAGTTACTTTTGTCACTTTAACATATTAAGACTTTTTAGCATCATCTATGACATCTAATGGAATACATTTCACTGAGCCTCCCATTTTCCCCACACATTCGATAAAAAGAAGTTGAAAAAAGCCCTCTGTAATTGTTTGTTTTAAACTAGGAAGTAAGGGCCATGTAGCAAGAATAAACTGAGTGATGACTGATGTGTAAAAAAATTGTCTCAGATCTGGTCAGGTACTTTCACAGCACCAACCACATTTAAGAACCTCAATAACTGTTCCTTCTCTCTGTACACATTTCTCCTCAGCCAGAGTCCATATCCCTGGCCTCAGAGAAGTGCGAGTTCATACAGACCGACTGGTTCAATGATCGAGGAAGCCTGGCATGGGGAAGGGTCTGGCGAACGCTTCGACGCGCTGACGCAGCTCTGCGATGCGAGCCACAGTTTCTTGGTCCTGAAGGAGGAAATTCTTGAAGTCCTGGAGTTTTCCTGTAAGGAAAGAAAATGAAACAAATTTTAGTTTTTTACAAAAAAAAAAAAAAAAGCCGACAACGCCGTTTCAATACATGTTGATTTTTTTTCAGGATTACCTGTCTTCTTCTTGACATCCAACGCAATCTTGAATCCCTCGTCCATGAACTCCACGACCCGCACGAAGTCCGCCTCTTTGAACTGTCTGGAGGTCAGGGCAGGAGCACCTGTGACAGAGAAGAGAACATTCATTCAGGTTCTTTATATACAAAAAGTGAAAATAACTCCTTTTTTAATTTTCCCTCTGCAGTTCAAGTGTCTGCAAATGTATTTTCCTCACTTTGTTTTTCTGATTAGGAACCAGATGGTATTTTGAGACAGAATACTGGAAATTGGTGTCATCTTTATCAACATGTCTCCTAAACTTTAGCAGAAATAATTAAAAAGTTGTAGCTAGACATACTGTAGGAAATCTGAAAAATGGAAAGGAACGGCTTGTGAGGCTGCAGTGAGACCTGCCAGGCTGTACGGTTTACAGAACATGGCTCTGACAGGAGGTTTTCAAAAGTTAAGATGCTGAGATTTCCACTGAGGGACATCAGGGTGGACAGAATAAAAAGTGCAGATCAGCAAAACAGTTATGGTGGAGCAGCATAGAGATAAAGTCAGAGGTGAGGTTGAGATGGTTTGGACATGTGACAGAGACCTCCAGGCAGGTGGTAACAGATGAAGACAGATGGATGTAGAAAAGGAGGACATGGACATGGTTGGTGTAAAGGTAGAGAAGGCAAGAGAGGATGAGATGGAGGCAGATGATCTGCAGAGGTGAAGGGAGCAGCCATAAGAGTTGTACTGTATAATATATAAATATATTAAAAAATATATAAATAAAAGAAAACTGAATAAAAAAGATTAGCTGTCGGGGATGACGCGACAACAACTTTAGCAGGATTGTAGGACTTTTTGTAGCTCTGGTGTGCTCAGCAGTCCTAGGAAAGGGCTGATGGGTACAATACAGAGGACTCTTTGTGTATTTTGTACTGCGCCAATAAAAATGTGATACTTTTCAATAAATAAACATATATACCATAATTTCCAGTCTCTAAGCCTTTACTTTTTTCACAGGCTTTGAACCCTGCGACTTAAACAATGATGCAGCTAATTTATGGATTTTTACAGCCACAGCGACGATGTTCTGTTGTGGTCGCTGTGGCTGATCATAAAGACTCAAAATGAAGGGAGTTAGCCCCGGAGCTAATGTTAGCTTCAGCCCTGGAGCAGATCACTAAGTCTCCCCTGTGCATTCCAACTACAGTCGGGGCTCTGAAACAGGTAAGAGCTAACGTGTAACCAGCTGTGTTACACTGATCAGAAAAAAGCATTAATTTAATTAAAAGTGAAAAAAAATCTTTCTGTGTAAATGTCCCATGTTACAATGTGGACACCTACGGCTAATAGAGAAGTGCGGCCTATATATGTACAATTTTCAATTTTTCTTAATGTTTAGTGGGTGCGGCTTCTATTCGGGTGCGCTCAATAGTCTGGAAATTATGGTAATATCGCATCGTCATCCCAAACATAATCTTTTTTCCGGATTACTTTACTTTAAAAAAGGAAGACAAAAAGGTATATTAAAGTCATAATCTAATAAGTAGACCGTGCTCACCTAGCCTGAGGCCACCAGGAGTCAGGGCGCTCTTGTCCCCAGGGCAGGTGTTCTTATTGGCAGTGATGGACACCAGCTCCAGCACCCTTTCGGCCCGAGCTCCGTCAATGCCCTTAGGCCGTAGGTCTACGAGGACCAGGTGGTTGTCGGTTCCCCCTGAAACATTCAAAAGAAAAAGTTGGTTAAAACTCTTGATGAGCACAAAGGTTTTGAATGAAGGGGAGTTACATTAGCTTCAGAGAGCCGAACACGTGGCTTACCTGACACCAGTGTGTAGCCTTTGCTAAGCAGAGCTGCAGCCATAGCCTTGGAGTTCTTCAGCACTTGGTCGATGTACTCCTTAAACATGGGCGAATTGGCCTGGACACACAAATGACACAAACAGCTGAGCTGGATACAGACAACAAACTTTTCTTCATTTTAAAGTCAACAACTGGCTCCTGGGAATCTTACAAATTCTATTTTCTGCAAGACAGACAGAACTGGGAGAATCCTAAAGTATTTTATTGGATTCTTGAGATGGAAGGAGTGAAACCTTTTCCTTGGAAAGAAAACCTCAAAGATTAGATAATCTCAAAAATGCCTGACCACTGCTTTGAAGTACAACGCACTCTCGTGCGGAAAAAATGTATGAAAGTAAAACTTTCTACATTACATCCACATTAAACAGAATAAAGATTTGATTTAATATCCAATAGTAGTCCGAGGATCTGGACAGTATACGGAGGAGACACAGAATCGAGCTCCTGAGCTGATCTGTTCCACAGCATCTGAACGGCAGAACAAACACCGAACAACAGACCTAAGCTGCACTGACCTGTCTGAGCGCCACAGCCACACCAGCGATGGCGTGGTTATGCGGTCCACCCTGCAGCGAGGGAAACACAGAGAAGTTGACCCTGTCCTCAAGGTCGTACATGATCTGCTTCCCCTTCTTGTCCACTGAGCGAACACCTTTACGGTAGAAGATGAGGCCAGCCCTGAACAAAACAGATTTTCTTTTTCATCTCAAAGCTCCCTTTTTTTCTTCTTCTTCTTCAAAGTCCTTCTTTTTTCTTTTGTCCTTTATTTGTCTTTCACGGAACTTTACGGCTTTCCTTCTTACCTGGCTCCGCGCAGGGATTTGTGAGTGGTGGAGGTGACCATGTCAGCATGTTCAAAGGGAGAGGAGACGGCACCGGCTGCCACCAGCCCACTGATATGAGCCATGTCTGCAAGCATGTACGCGTTGATGTCAGTGCACAACTGAAAAAGAGAGAAGGGAACAAGGATTTGTATGACGAGAAATATTAGGAACATTGTCTGCAACAGTTCAAAATCAGGATTCAAATCGTGACTTTAAAAAAAGTCAACATTTTTAGTGACTACATACAGTATGTCTACATTCTTCACTAAACCAAATAATAAAAAAAAGTAAATAATGATACGTTTTCATTTTTGAATCTTGGTTATAAACTTTATAACTTTATAAACTTGGAATATAGTAATAAGTTCCAAGTTTTATAAACTAAATTAATATAAAAGTAAAATAAAGTACAATATTTCAAGGGTGACATATCTACATTGTCCCACTATTTATGACGCGTCTGATAGCAGCATTATCATCTCATATGTTCCCTCTAACATAAACAACTATTTCAAAGGTCATGTTGGTGGAGTTTACAGCACAGGATATTTCAAATTATTTGCATGAATTCTGTGGTTGTCCGATGACAGCGTTTTCTTTCAGAAAACTCAAACAAAAGCAGCTCACAAATATGCAAATGACTCGCTGGGAAGTACTCAGAGAAATAATTGATCTTTCAAGTGCTCCAATTAATTCCCATCAACATGACAACCTAAATCCTCCTGATATATCTAAACTTGATCAGTGTGTGTCTAAAAAGAAGAAACAAGAAAAGCCATGAGAGAAAGGGGGTGTGAAGAATACAAAAGACTGATGTGCAGTAGCTGGAAAAAAAAAATCTGTTTGGGTAACACAACAGTAATGATCTGGACACGGGCCCGGCCCAACAGATTCTGCCATAAAGCGGTGAACAGTTTCACGTGCCATGGGGAAAATATGGCCCCACTTCAGACCTAGTGGTGACGCAGTTATAGTGCTTAATAAAAACACAGCTCTGTAATGGTGGGGCCACTCCATCTGATGGTACAGGCTAAAGTGGAGCTCTGCAACAAAGAGTGGCAGTCATGGAGTGAATGAAGTGAGCGAGCAGGTGGGTACAACAAAATAGATGAAGGAGCCTCTTGTGCACTGTCAAAGAGAGCAGTGGAGTGTGTGGTTAAAAGTTGCTGCTGTGTAGGTGGAAGTCAGTGCCATGTTCAGTTTGGTTAAGCAGGCAAGGGAGGAAGACACACGGCCCAGAGTCACAGCCAAAAGCTTCAAGCTATATACTGTATGCATATATATATATATACATGCATACATACATACGTGTGTGTATATATGTATACATATACATACATACATACGTGTGTGTATATATATAAAACACACATATATATACACATGCATACATACATACGTGTGTGTATATATATATATATGTATATGTATATATATACACATATATATATATACACATATATACATATATATATGTATATGTATATATACATAAATATATACATATGTGTATACATATACATACATACATACATTCATACATACACGTGTGGTTGTATATATATTTATGTCTGCTCATTCATCTATCCATATTTATATTCCTATAGATAAAATAGAGAGACATATATGTCTATAAATGTATATATATATACATATATACAGTACATTTGTGTATATACATACATATGCATATACATGCACACATATGGACATGTGTGAATATATAACAAAATAATAACAATAATAGTGACCATTTTTATAATTATTATTATCAACTTTATATTAATCACAGTAATTAGAAATAGTAGTGCAATAGTATTTTTTTTTTTTTATGGAATTGTCTCTGCTAAATAACAAAAACAATCACAGGTAAATAAATGTAAATATATTTTGGTCAGAAACTACCATGTTCAAACTAAAGTTCACTCCAGAGAATTGCTTTGTTCCTGTTTAACAGATGAGCAGGAATACATGGCAGAGAGGGGAGAGAGAGCAATGGGGTGAAAGCTGGGTGAAGTTTTTGTGTACAGTTCTTTATGTACCTTCTTGATACGGGCGTAGTCAATGAGGCGGGCATATGCACTGGTGCCAGCGATGATGAGCCTGGGCCGGAACAGCTTGGCCGTCAACTCCATCTGGTCGTAATCTATGAGTCCTGTTGCAGGCTGGAAAGAGGCAGACACATCAAGGAGAGTCAGACGAGTCAGAACAAGGACTCGGAGGAAGAGGTGGAGGGCGAAGGACAGGATACTAGAGAGAAAGTTGAGGTCAAGGAGTAAAATACTTCTTTTTTTTTTTTTACACGACAGAGAGTGGGTTTTTATTCAAAGCCGATTGAATAGTTCTGGCCACTTACACTCTGGCTGAAATGTATCAAAAAGAGACATTTTTACCTAACAACATAGACGAAGATGGTACCATTTCAGTCAGACAACCTTTAATCTCCAAGCTGCCATTGAACGAATGCGACGGTGCTTGTCAGAATAAAGACTGTTTTGGAAATTTTCATGGATCTTAGATGTGGCTAAGAACTTGTTTCTGGTGGGTGTACATCACACAGCAGAAAGTGGACAAATGCTGGCTGGATCTAAAAGGCACTTCATCCTGTTCCTTAAACAAGTTTTACCCTTGACCAGCAAACACCCCCTCACTTCTACAAGACAGAATGAAAAGAAAGGGGAAGGGAGGAGGGAGACAAAAGACTAAGAGGAAAAAAGGAAGGGCGGGGGCTAAGAAAGAGAAAAACAGGAGGGAAGCTTTATTTAGACAACCTAATAATCTCCCATCTCTGGAGCACATCTATGGATGCCCCCTCACTCCATCAAGCCGCTCATTGTAGAGACAGAGCCAGTGGTGCTGGCCGGCCTGTCGATTTCCCATTATCTCTCTTGCAGAGGGGTCCTGCCAGCCCATACATCAGCAGGTCTGGACATGCTGACTTTCGTGGCCATCCATCAGCCGCAACCAACGAAACCACACAACTATGTCCCAAAGATCAAAAAACTACATTCTGGTACAAGACCACGGCCATATCTACATGTTATCTAGTCTCACCTGCAGGTGGAGAAGCAGCTCTGTTAGCATGGTTTTTTTACAATGTCACTGCCCAAAGGAAACGTCTGTTTTTATCTCTCAATATCAGAAGACAAATATGTGTCTGGTAATAAAAACAAGATCCACCTTCACCGCGTTTGCACAATAACGTTAATATTGGCAGAAATGGTAGAACAGTTGCCAATCCAAGTAACCAATCCTGTGATATGAGACCACAGTAGCAGCTATGACTGCCATATGAGCAGAACTGACCAATGGTGTTTCACTGTTCATACTGGCACAGTTATAGTTAGTTGCCTTCTGAAAATGGGATTTCAGGTTCAGAAAGGCTCTTCATTGGAGAGATTATCAGAATATCACCATTCTAAACAGCAATGCTGACTGTTGGTTAACGTCACAGGGTTAGACACTTCAGTAGAGGGAGTAGAAGGGGGGGGGGGGCCACTTACACTTAGTTTGTAGGGCATGGACTCAAAATAGATTGAGGTCGCTGAGATCCTTTTTACGTCAGACATGTAGCCATGTGTCAGACTTGGGTGACAAACCGGAACAAACAGAGAAACAAACAGAAAAAGAGGCAAAACATTAGTTTTTAAAATACATTGTGGTAAATAAATGACCGAAAGACTAAACTTATAAGCTTAAGAAAAAGTAAATAAATGAATATATATAAAAAAAACAATGTCTACTGACTGTCCTCCATCAGGCAGGTCCAGGCCCATGATGCGGTCATGTGGGTTCAACACTGCAGTGTATGCGGCAAAGTTCGCAGGTGAGCCAGAATAAGGCTGGACATTCACACCCCACTCTTCTGGGTCCAGCTTGAAGGCCTCCAGAGCTCGTCTCTGACAAAGGAGCTCAATCTGGTCGACCACCTCTGCTCCACCGTAGTATCTGTGGATACACGAGAAACCGAGGAAAGTAATTAAGGCTTCCGAGGGCTAAAAAATAAGAAAATTAAATTCCAATTTTAACAACAAAACGGTAGAAAAACAAAGACAAGTAGATAGATGGAGTTGCTTGTGAGAGTTTTTCAATTGAATTAACAAATGACATACTAACGGATGAATATTGTACAAACAAATGTATTCCCTGACATCATGGGCTTATATTCATCCATTTGGTTCATTACATTAAAATGTGAAACATTATAGCAGCAGAGTATGGAAGAAAAAAAAGAAATTTACATATTCATGGGGGAGGAAGATTTATTGGTAGACACGTATTCCACAACTGCCATGAATCAAATGAGCAACATTTCAGAACAGATCAGCTCCGTTTTCTGTTGTTAAATGTAAATTAACCAAGTGAAATAATACAAAACAGGGAAACGGAATATAAAAAAAATGAACTATTAGCCTGACACTAAGTTCTTCCAATGAATCCCCAAAGGAATCATCTTTAGCATAGCAGTAGCTGTGAATAATGGGCTGTGTGGTTGGCATAGTAATAGGGCACGCTAGAATGCAGTGTATAAATCAGTGTGGAGCTTTATAAGTTGGTTTGTGTGGTGTTTGTGTGCGTGTCCCAGAGCAGAGAATGTCCACTGTCCTAATAATCTGGGGTGTGGCTGAATAAATGCTCACCTTCTACCTGGGTAGCCTTCAGAATATTTGTTGTTCAGACAGGAGCCTTGAGCTTCCAGGGCCGCTCGACTGCAGAAATTCTGTGGCAATAACACACACACAAAAGAACACACACTCAGATCAATGCTGCCAGTGGACAAAAGGGACAAGGACGGCAAATTAAAGTCTGTTAAGTGATAGTGAGAAATCCCCCTGCAGCTAAAGGCAATCATTACAGTATTGAACCGCTGGACTTCCATCCACTAACACTCCACACTCAACAATGCTTATCACTTCACTCCTGGAGGATACAAGACAATGCAATCATTTTTTTTTTTTTCGCCCACAAACTCTGATAAATAAGTACGGCACCTTTCATTATTTTGCAGTCGAGTATGGCTGGCTGAAGAAAATGTATACATTTAAAAAAAAAACTCCACTAGGCAAATTAGAAAACTGCATGTTAACAGCCATGTACAAGACATGGGGAAGAAAACAACATATAAAACATCATAAAAACAACTGTGATTAGCATTTCTGTAAAAGCACCAATGTCAGAAAAGATACAGCAGTAGTGGCTCATTAAAACTGCTTCAGTTTCCATTCATTATGGCAAAAAAAAAAGAAGTAATAAATCAAAAAGACGTGAAAATCGTTTTCTACAGCTCCACTACAACACCGGAGGAGATATTTTTTATCGTTGAATAAAGTTCATCAAATCAAGTCAATAATGCAGTGTAAAATGTTCTAAATGCTGTTGTCATATTACAGAACCATCAGGAATTACACAA